CGATCGTCACAATAATACAATTAATAGTATATGAGGTTAAGTTTTAAACCCTCGATCTTTACTAACTAAATATGATATAATATTACACTAATATTTTAAGTATAATTTGGTATTATTTGATTGTTATCGTGTTTTTACATTATGTTATTTTTTGATATTATTAAAAATATTATCACATAATATTATTTAATATTACTAAAAATACTATAATGTAGTGTAAAAGTATGATGACTCAATCGATTTACTCGATGGACCTTCCATCGGAAATGGACGAGAAAGGGGGGATACGTGGGCGAAGTAATTCTTGGTATTAGGAAAAACTAGAACGCTATTAAGAAACTCCGAAAATGAGAAACACCTCTCAAGAAAAATCTAAACCATTTCCTTTCTCAACAAGAATTTACCCTTAAAACTCTTTCGGTCAATTCTGAAAATATATTTAAATAAAAAGATCATCGACTTATTGACTTTGTCCAACATATGTTGAACTCATACCACGAACAAAAAAGACCACAAGAACTCATTACGTGCTTTTTTAAGTACATCTCCGAACCTTATAAAACAACCGCAAATCATCATCATCATCATCCTCACCGAAACCATGTCCAAAAGAGTATTTTGATCCATGGTCACCCTCCATTATTATATTAGCTCAAACTCTCGCTCATCATCATATCCAATGCAATGTTTGTCTAATGTGTGCCAAGTACATGTGTTTGTAATTGGGAAGTCATTTAATACTGAGTTCAGCTTCTGACACTGTCAGTGGTCCTCTTGCTCGAGTTTGTAGGCCAAGTGGCAACTCATTCCAAGGACGTTGCACTTCATTTGTTGCGTAAAAATATTTTTTTAATAAATAAAATTTATTATATCATTAAATTTTATTATCATAATAATTTTTAGTCGAAGAAAGACAATTCAATGCATGTATATGATAGAAAGAATAGAAGATAAAAAGCTTTATTGAAAAAGTAAAGAAACTTTTAATGAAGAAGCTTTAGCTTAAATGCATTAGAATGTCCCTCTCCTTTATTTATAGGGATTAGGAGAGAGGATTTTTCTTAATAGAATAGAGGATTTTTCTCAATAGAATAAATAAGATTTTCCTCAATAGAATAGAGGATTTTCCTCAATAGATAAGATTTTCCTCAATAGAATAGAGGATGAGAAATCATATCTTCTATCAGTATATAGTTTCACAAATTGAGAGAGTTTGGTTAATCTATTTGAGTCAATATATGTGTTTTAAATGATACTATGACTCAACTATTAATCAGTTAATATATTAGTCTTTTCTCGTTTGTTCTATTAAAGCTCTTACCATCTCATAAATGGAATCAATTACTCGAGTTCCAAAAAGCACACCTCCCATAAGGGAGGCTTGTTAACGTTACCAGGACTAAGCCATAGTAATCAGTAATAAAGAATACCGAAGACAATTCCTAAGCAAGGAACGAATTAGGATAGCATTAGCATCGAGGAATTGTTTCCTCTTTTTTAGTGCTTCCAAAGCTACTTCGTGTTGATAAGCAAGCTTTGCACATGCATCACATTGTACGTGTGGCATGCATTTTGTTGCAAGTTTATGTTTCGTGTTTTTGATTTGGATGTGATGTATTTGGGCAAATAAATTGCTTCTGTGACTCGGATTTTTCTCATTTAGAATAGAAGGTAGCAAAACGTCATGATAATGCTAATGCTTAACGTGAAAAGTAATTTCTTCATCAAAACCTCATATTGGACAGAAAACCTACAACATCACGATTTTAAAATAATTTCCACCTGCAACTCAAAATCTTTGTTGCCATTCCATAAATCTGGCTTTGCCAGGTTATGTTGTTGGAATATTTGTTCTCTATCTTGGAAAGTGCTGTAGTTGTTTTAATAAGAGAACATGTCGTTGCTGATAAATGCATGAAAAAGAAAAAAAAAATAATCTTTTTTTTAATAATTGAGACCGAAAAATACTTTCGTTGTCAGTGTTCTAATAATGCTTCAAACTTTTTTTTGTCATTTGTGTGCAAGATTGATATAGACGATATTATCTTAAATGCACTTTGCTTTCTGATTCATCAACAGTTTCCTTGTCTTCTATGTTATATTCGGAAATCATCACAATATGACAAATGAGGTGAAGATAGAGTTGCTTATGTTGAGTAAGGAATGTTATTTTTTCAAGTCTAAAGCGTCACTTTCAATAGAAAGATTTACATAAAAAAGGTATGTTAGATTTGTTAGAAATTTTAATACCAAAATATGTTTTTAAGTCATTATAATAGAAACACAAGAAAACTAATGCAGAAACGAAAATTAAATACTACTTCCGTTAATTATTGTCAAGAATTTCAGCAATGATTTCTCTTTGTATTTTGGCACTTCTCAGCTCAGAACTCTCGTTTTAGATGATATAGTAAATCCTTTAGACTTAAGAGAGATATTGAACCTAGAGATCATAACCCTTATTTAATAGATGTTCTCCCATTAAGAATATTTATTATCACCAACTTTGTAACGTTTAAGAATTAATTCAAATTTATAACATTTGAATCATAGAATAATTTTAATGATATTAAATAAAATATTTAATAATAATGATTACATTTATAATGAATGAAAAATCAAAATATTTAAATCACAATAAATGATAATGATAAAATGAGAACGGTTACAATATTATCTTTGGATCTTCTCATCGTACGTTTTTTATGACCACATACTAGAAAATTTAGTGTTTATATTAAAACACAAGAGTCTTTTTTCATAATTTGATGAGTTAATACAAGGAAATGGACATCATCAGACATATGCATACATCACATGCTGTAGCAATGTATATAAACAAGAATCTTTGGAGAGAACATGTTGTATGCTGATAAATGCTGGGCAGAAGCAATTCTATACCTTAACTACAAAATTTAATGTTATAGAAGAAATTTGGTAGGGTAATTCTCTTGATCCTCCCATACCCTGCGAATGTGCAGGAGTTTGGATATATTTCTTAAATTTTTTTTGACTATAATATTTTGATATTAGTTATTTATTTTTACAAAGAGTAAATAACAAGGTTTTTACTAGCTAATCTATCTAATATACTATAAAAATTTGTTGGATGATTTTTTGAATTATTAATTATTTAAAAAAATAAGATTTAGTATACTACCATAAGATTAATATTTTAGATATAAAAATATTTGGTATACTATCACTGGGCCATATGTGTCAAATTTATGAATAGGTTTTAGGCCCTCAATCTTTAGTAACTTTATCTAGTATATTACTAGACCAATATTTTGTATATAATTTAAGATTGTTTGATAGCTAACAAAGATTTAAAAATGGACTCTAAAACCAATATTTGAATGTATTTAGCGAGCCAACTAAATTGGAATGTAAAGGTCACACGGATGGAGTTTGGGAAGCTCGAAATAACTCTTCAGACAACATTGTTTGTTTATTGGTTGTTTATCAAAATCCAGTAGATATGATAAAGAAGTCACTTCCGATTGCTAAGTTCAAGTATTGCTTGGAGACTTGGTACTTGCAACAATTGACTTCACGGTGTTTTGATGGAGAAGACGAAGAAAGGTTTCTATTCTACTATATTAAGTCAAGGTGGAGACTGTTCCAATGTGCCTTGAATATTATTTGTCTTTTTTTTTTTTAAATGGTATTCATACTGTTTACAGATTTCTTAATTTAATCTTTACTTGAAATTTTTGAAGAAGAAAAATAATGAAAATAATAGAAGATAAGAATAATTATTGAAGAAGTAAAAAAAACTTAAATACATTAAGGAAGGATTTTTCTTAACAGAGATTTTCTCGTAGTTGGGGAAATCTTATCTTCTGCCCAATAGAGCAAGAGCAGAAAGATGGTTGTAACGGTGTTGGTCGCTGACGAAAAAAATAATTATTGAAGAAGTTTTATTAAAAAAATAAAAAAACTTAAATACATTAACATGTTCTTCTCCTATTTATACAGATTAGGAGGTGTTGGCGAAACTTTATTGAAAAAATAAAAAAACTTAAATACATTAACATGTCCCTCTCCTATTTATACAGATAAGAATTTTCATAGAGGATTTTCCTTAATAGAATAGAGAAATTTTCTCGTATAATTAAAAAAATCTTATCTTCTATAAAAAATAATAATTTTACTATGAGAGTAACGTAAAACTCTTTTGCTATAGGAAGCCATGGAAGGGGGTCAAAGCAGCACAACCAAGAAATAAAATGATTTTACGTCAGGTTTCCCTCTTTAATGGCACTGTGTCACTGCAGATTACAAATCCGCCGAGGAACAGTGAAAAATCTTATAAACAACAGCCTAGTAAACAGTTGCCTAAGTGCAACAAAAGCATTCAACAAGTGGCCGCCATATCGATGATTTTATCCTTCAATGTCAATGCTGTCTGCAGTTCAAGCTGGATTGCCCTGCCAAATTTGTCTTCCTGCAACAATTAAGCTAACCACACTCTGGCCTGATCAATTCAGCTTAGGGGACGTCAAAGACAATCAATGTTCATGCAAACATGCATAACGACTGTACTAATCCGCTAGCATCAGCATCCCGATTAGATAGGCTTCCTCCTCTGTGCGGGTTGGTAGGGAGTCATCAGGAGGAGGCCTTCCTTGTTGCACAAGGCATCGTGAGCCACGAAGAAGTAAGAGGAATCGTCTTCGCAAACTCCAAGGATTTGGTGTTGGAACTTGGATTCTTGGGCGCAGGTCGAGGGCAAGACTTCGTTCGGCATATACTGAACGCATAGGTCTTGATGTTTGACCGCCAGCCACCGGGACACTTTGGAATTGGCGCACATCAATTGAGTTCACTCTTTAAAGTAACACGTAGATCCTCTGATTCTTCTACCTCCAGTATAATTAACTCGACGTAAAGCCTAAGAAGTAAATGAAGACAGAGGAGGGAGGAGGGCTTGCTGTTTGTATGGCATGACTCAGCGTGAACGTTTAACTCCATGCAATAATTGTAACACATGCCTGTTTCTTTCTTTCGACTGGGTGTAGAACAGGTGAACAGGAAAAAGGTTTGTGAGGGCGCTTAGCCTTACGCAACTTAGCTCCCCTTTTTCCCTTCACATTCATTGTTCTCTTTGGAATGCATGTCAGGAATTGAATGGTTGGAATGCTCCAAACCAAATCAGTCGCCTGCTGCACTTGTCTGCAAGTACTGACAGGCCTGCAGCTGTCTTCCAGCTTTTTGGGTTGTGCTTTCGCTTTAGAGTCCGCATACACGTCCCCGTATTGCCCGGCCTTCCATCACCTCCTCCCCCACCTTTATTTCTTTGCTTATTCTGCTTTTGCAAGGTCTTTTCTGCTACTGCACGGCTCTCTTGGTTTGAGGCCCATCCACGAGCTTGAGCTGTTCTTGATCTTGGATTGGTGTTGATCTATCTATTCCTGGATACCATGTCTACTTTTTGATTCTTTTGATGCTCTTTAATCAGTTTTACTAGATAAGGTTTCCCGGAGTGGCCTGTTAGATCTTGTGTTGCTGTTGGTCTCTCTGTTCCTGGATACTGCGTGTACTTCCAGTGTCCTGCTTGTGAACTCCCTACTCAATTCGTTCTCGTCTGTCCTCATTCCTTGCCCACCCCCACTACTGCCATCTCCTCTTCTGGTTGTGGTTCCCTTGCTCTGGCCAACTCCATGATGGCATTCACGGAGGGGAATATCTACTCATCGGTATGTTATGTGATGGACTCTTGATGAGACAAGCAAACAAGACCGGACTGATAGAGAGAGGTGTAGGTGGGTGTAAGAGACGAGAGTGAAAGGGAAGGGTGGAAAGAGAAGTGAAGAGAGGAGAGCATAAAGGAGAGGTAGAGGCCTTTGAGAGGCAGCCTTCATGGACTGGGATCTTAAAATGCCTCCATGGAACCTGGAAGAATTGGGCCGTGATGCCGAGCTGAGTATCGGCTCGGTGGTGGTCGGGTCGAGCGGCGGCGGCACGTGCCAGTCGAGTGGGCTGGACTGCTCGGTCGATCTGAAGCTCGGGGGACTGGGAGATTTTGGGTCATCAACCGAGTGGAACTCCCATCCTGCTGCGTCGATGGCGATGGCATCTCAATCGGCTCCGTCGAAGAGGCCGCGGGCCCCGGCCCACGGCGTTTCGTGCCTGGTCGACGGGTGCAACGCTGATCTTAGCAAGTGCAGGGAGTATCACCGGCGCCATAAGGTCTGCGAGGCGCACTCCAAGACTCCGATGGTGGTGCTCCGCGGCCAGCAGCAGCGCTTCTGCCAGCAGTGCAGCAGGTAATGGAACAGGAGCTCTTGCATATATTTCATCTCCTCCTTAAATTCCCATTACCAGTGTGCAGGGCTAACTATTTTGGTATTTAATCCATCTGAATGCTTGTTGTCGGAGTAATTTGTCGTTTTCTTTTGATATTGAAATTGGTTTTCAATTGTTTACTTCTTCCTTTATCTGCAAACTTCCTTTTGCTCAAATCTATTTCATGTTGCCCATCCATATCTTTGGGTTTTGACCTTCTTTGTTCTCATTATGATTTGATTATTTCTTATTCTATTAATGATCTGGATAAGATTATTTTTTCTTGTATGCATATGTTGTATATTTACTGTTGATTAAACGATCCTAGCAGTCGCTGTCTTTTCTGATCTTACATTATTTAGTAGGGTCTGGTTGCTCTTTTAATATTACATTTAGACTTGCCTACCAGTGTGGTGACATAGTTACCTTTTGTTCTGTTAAACATTAAAACATTGAAACTCTTTTTTGTTTATCGATAATTGCATTGCTCATATGCTTGTTTTTGCTTCAGTTTTCTCTTTGCAATTATTTGATCTGATGCTTGGAGCTTTGGTATAAATATCTTTGAGTTTTAAGAATTTGATTTGAGTTAGAAACCTTTTCCTGGAGTTCTTGTTGACAAATTTTTATTAGCTTGTTCAATTACACATGTTAGTGCCTTATTCTTTCATAATTCTTCTTTGGTAGCCATTGCATGTGGTACCTCTCTCTTGATAGTCAAACCCCTAAATTGTATTTTCTCAGTCAAATGTGAGGGACCTTCTACCTTCTTTTTGACTGGGGATTCTTTGTGGATTTATCAAATCACTAGCAATTATTCCCTTGTGCTTGTGATTCCTTGTTTTTCAGTGTTTTGCCTTTTCATGTTGTTGCTGATTTCTTGTCTTGAGAACTAAATTCTCACTTTATTGTGGGCACAATATCTACCATATCTTCTTTTTCACCTTTTTTTGTCTTGAGTCATTTCACCATTACAAGTAACTATCTTTTTTCTCCATGACTCATCCGGTTTGTGCAAGTGTTTGATACATAACTTCCTTTCTTTGACATTTGTGACTAATTCTCTGTAAAGGCTTATCTGAATATTCCCCCATCTGCCAAAAAAAAAAGACACTGGAGAAAATTTTTGGTCCTGTTTTCTTATTTGTCTTTAACTTTTTTATATCTCCAGCTCATTTGGCTGTCCTCATTCACCAATTTATCTGTTCACTGCAAATTGATGTTCATCTTGCATAGTAGTAGAATGGGGGGCTTGATCTCCATTTCCTGTGACATTTATTCCAAGGTCAGCTCAGCACTTGACATGACTCATTTTTTCACATGGACCAAAGATGGATCGTCTCCAAGTTTAGATTGTACATTGAAGGATAAGTTGACACTCTCGAAAATGCCAAAGCGGGAGCCTATGCACTTCCCGTTATATAGGATTCCAAGTATGCAGTTCAAATGTCTCAGTTATGTGCCAAAACAAAGAGTAGAATTAACTCTTGCAGAAAGAAGTATGAAACTGCAGCCTAGAGATTTTTCCAATAATTTAAAGTTTAAGTTTAAATAACTCTGATCCCCCTTAACCCTTTAGACCCATCATGATTGTCAAATAATGTATTTTACACTATTACCTTTTCTTTAATCCAATATCCCAGCATTAGATCAAAGATATTTTGAATTGCAGAAAAATCAAGATTCTAGTTGTATATCGAGCAGGGTTTTTAATACCGAATCATACTGCTCGGTACGGGCGGTACATACCGGTCAGCTAATAGATCGGTACACGGACTGTCGGCTACCGGGCAGTTCCATCGATAGACTTATATTGGACAATATGGGACTTTATCGGGTAGTAACGGTCGAAATTTTGAGTGTTACTGCCTGATACTTAGATTCAGTCTTAAATTCGGCTAGGTAGCGATAATAGTCACCCTTCATCTTCAAGTAGAAGACCTTGGAGTCGGTTACGGTAGCTATAGGGATGAGGCAAGCATCGAGGAGGCGGAGGATGCCACCATAGATAGAGTCGAGCTTGGACTCGATCCGTGCATGGTAGCCACGGATGGTGACCATGTGGTCGTGGTTTCTGTAGCCCTCCTTCTGCTCGATGGAGGAGATGATTCACCAAGACATGCTGTCACAAACTTAGCTGGTTCTGCCTAAGTCGTGCGGCACCCTTGCGTGTCCGTCCGCAAAGGTCAGTCTCCTCGAAACCTCCTATGGTCCCTTAGGACCTACAAAAGAGAAAACGGGTTAGAAAAAGCGCCTTACTTGGGATCCACAAACAATCATTTCAGGAAACACCTCATAACCTGTGCAAATTACAAACATACTTCACAAGCTCTGAATGGTCGCATAACAAAGGATTCAAAATAGTCCACTACAAACCAAAAGAAAATGGGGCTGCTAAGCTTATTGCTAGCCCTTTACATGTTGTGCAAAGCATGAATAAACCAAAAGACAAGGACATACATAAGCATTACGTCGAACACCCTATTTATAATTTTGGCCGTTACATTCTCTCCCACTTATTCCTTCGACATCCTCGTCAAAGCCTTTGCCGACGTTGCAACTCCTTGCCTTTTGCTAAGTCTTCAATCTTCTACTCTAGTTGCAATGCGCCTCTTGGCTCCCAACTGCTCTCCGCTGTTGTTGTTGAGTAGTCGAACTTTTAATTCGTCATACTGCTTCAACTCGCCAATGACTTTAACTCTATTATGGGGTTGGTTAGAGTTGGGTTGATCCCTATTGGTTCCTATGGATCATTCAAATGAAGGAAAAGACCATCATTAGTATGCGTCAGTCTCTCAAATGTTTCATGCCGCTTGAATTGGGTGGATGCCTATTGGAGCTTTAACGAGCATCGCCTCGCAAACTTTTGAAGTTTTTGGGTCCTTCCTTCACAAAATTTATCCATCGACTCTTCCTTCACTTATTTGTCACTTCCAAATAGGTTCGCATCACTTCCGCTTTCGATTGGAATTGTGTTGGGAAATGAAGCGGATAATCTACTCTCAGTAGCACTGATCACCATTGGTGGGGATTTGACAATTATTGTCTTCCATTTGGTTTCTTCGAAGAGTCTTTGAACATGTGCAGAGCTCCTCCGGTGGATAAATAAGAGAATTGGGGTACTTAGTTTCATCCATTCTCTTAAGAGTTGAGAAGGCAAAGGTTACTTGACTTCGCCTACTTCCTCGAGGGTTGTATTCCATGCATCGAGCTGGTTACTGGCCTTCGCCTGCTCTTTGCTCATACTTCTGAAGCACTTGAAGTGTTTGCACTCCTTGTATTGAGTTAGTTACTGTGATTCACCTTTCCAATGCCATCGAACTTCTAAAATGCAGGAAGTTTTCACCCCAACCTGGAATAAGTCTCTAATAGTTTTGGTTGCCTTTGGGATTGTACCATCTTCTCCATCAATCCAGTCACCTACTCCATTGAGTCGTAAAGGTATAGCATCGCGTACTGTATACTTTGTTCTTCGGTCGTGCACTCTTGCATCGACCCGAAGTCATCCACTTTCGGTTATCTTAATGAGAAGCTCGTTGACACCGGTCTTACGAAGTTCCCTGGCTTTTGCCCTTCAACCTTGTCATTGTACTTGGAGTTTACTTCTGTATTCTCTACCTCCTTGGCCCCTTTCACGACTAAGCGCTCCCCCTCATAAGAGCAAGGGATCGATGACTTCACAAAGTCCTGCCTCTGCGGTTCCATGGTGTTACCAATGCCCATGACCCTATTATCTGTCGCCTCACATCTGCATCATTTTCTTCGCGATCGGTAGATCTGCCTCTGTGGCACTCCTCCGAGTCCACCTCCATTCTAATCGATGCTTGGTTTTGGGTAGCTAAGTCCCTCTGAACTCGTCGCTTTCTCACCCCTATCGACCCCCTGCTTCAACACCTTTGTGTTCTCCAAACATTTCCCCTTGGTCGATGGAAAGATAAACTACAACTCTCATGCATGGCCTCTGCCATTATGTTGCAGGGTTCACATTGATTCTGTTCTCCTTAGCTTTCTTGGTAGCAACATTCACTTACTCGGCCTTGTCCTTTGACTTGCCGAGCTCCCTTGAGCGAATATGGGCTTTAGAGCAGTCTAACTCTCCAACCACCCTGATCATACCTCTGTATGATCAAGTCCCTCCCATGGGACTCATTGGTACTTGCATTCGAACTTTTTCCTTGGTGGTACACAGCCCTTATATGCTGATGACCAAGGCTTTCAGTCGATACAAAATTCGATGCATGGAAGTTCCGCCTCTGCGGTACCATGTCTTTCACTCCTTGAATCCATAGCCCTTCTTGCCATTGTGTTGTTCACCGAAGTGGAGCTCCCAGTATCTCCCGATAATACCTCTGTATGATATAGTCCCTCATGGGACTAGATTTGTATGTATCGCATTGCTACGAACTGTTCTACCACGATCCGCTGCACCATGTCGCCTCCTGGTGACATCTCCATTGCACTCTGATCCTTGTGGGGTAAACTCGGATTGTGATCCCTCCATGTATGACTTTTGCCAACATATTGCAAGGTCTCTTCCACTTTCGATGGTGTTTGCTCCTTTGGCAATCAACCTTCGTCTACCCGCTCTCGGGTTACACCTAGACAAAGCACCTCTCTAGGATAGTCTGTTGTCTACTAGCTCCCGAAGTCCACCGACTTTGTTGAAATTAGTGCACCATTGTTTGGATCCTGGGCTCCTGCTCCTACCAACACAATCTTCACTGAGCACCGCTTCCTTCATGGTAACTTGATTTGTAGCACTGTGGCATATTCTTCAAGAGTACCCGCCTCCGTGTCCTCTTGCCCCATGCCAAATCCTTCTGAACCCAACTTCGCCTCCATAAGTTGAGTCGCCGTAGTTCCTCCGTCAAATGCTTCTCCGAGGTAAGGTACATCTGCCTCGAAGCTCACTTCATTTTTGACACAATGCAGGATGAGTTCGCTCTATCAGAATGAGGGACCCATGGAACGACATGATTCT